TCCAGCATTAGTCCACGCCCTCAACAAAGATGATCCTGACCAGAGAGTTGAACTTTGTGAGCGGTACCTAGCAAAATGTGCAGAGGATGCACAGGTTCCAAACAAGATTGTCTGGAGCAATGAGGCCCCATTTAAGTTAAATGGTTCAGTTAATTGCCACAACTGCACCTACTGGGCACCTCTGAACCCGCATGTTACGATTGAACACCACATAAACTTACCAGAGGTTACAGTGTGGTGTGGATTATCAGCATTGGGCATAATTGGACCATTTTTTTTCGAAAACACAGTCACTGGTGCTGTTTATCTGAACTTGCTGCAGGAATCCGTCATGCCACGCATTCAAGAGCAATTTGGAGATGAGTAGTTTTATTTCCAGCAAGATGGAGCACCTCCTCACTACCATCATGATGTGAGGGCCTATCTTGACGAAAATCTGCTGAACAGATAGATTGGGCAAAAAGGTAGCATTGAATTCCCCGCTACTTTACCAGACCTCACACCACCAGACTTTTTTTTTTATGGGGATACCTCAAAGATATGGTTTATAGCACAAAACCTGCAACAATCAATGAGTTGAAAGCAGCAATTGAAAAAGTATGTGCCAAAATACCAAATGAAATGATTCGTGATGTTTGCAATTCCATTTGTCATCGTCATCAGCAGTACTTTGACCAGAGCGGTCATCAGTTCGAACACCTGTGATAACTCAAAATATTCTTCTTTAACTTAGATTATAAAACTCGGATATATCTTTATAAACATTCTATTTATACTCATTCAAAATGTGTATACATTTTTTGGGACACCCTTTATATTTATTTTTATAAAATTGACCTTTCAGCCATGCCTGGCTAACATTATAGAAGTTGCAATGACGTGGAGAACATGCACTCATGTTACCGTATCCAAGAATATAAAAATGGCCTTTACAAAGTGGCTTGGCTGTGTTTTAGTGGACTAGTATTTTGCAAAATACAGTTATAATACATTATTACTATTTACAAATAAGTTCTTAAACTTATTTTTCTTAAAACATAGAACAGTAAATAAAGAAGTATAGCAAACAATTATCTCTTCTAGTTACAAACTTTGTTCTCATTTTCTGCTTGCTGTAGGTTGCTAAGTTTTATCAAATTTTGCACATGGAGGATGTGAAATGAAGTCATTATTTTTAGGTTTTATATATACATTTTGAAATAACCAAAAATCATTATTTACTAAATTAATACCATAGAGTTCCAATATAATTTATCAAGCTTAGTAACTAAGCTGTATTTGGGTAAAAAAAAATGAAATTTCAAGCACTGTCAATAAAGTCTTACCTTATCACTTGGATTCTAGCATGAAAAGAATTAGTTTGCTGCCTGATTACTTCAAAAAGGATGATAAAGTGATTAGGGGGACATTCTGAGCTTTTGATTGGTTATTCACACATCATAGACATAAGTAGGTATAATTAAGTAAGTGTTTCCAAAAACGGACAAAGGTGGGTAGGGCCACTGTGCTTGATTCAGTAAATTAGCAATATTTCGGCAAATAGAAAAGATAGTAGCTTCTTATTTTATATTCTAGCTTGTCAATATCGGTAATTTGAGTTTCTAATTTGTAAGAAACTATAGACTTTGTATTTGGACATCATAAACATCTAATTTGAACCATAGCTGCATTCAACATACCACTCGACACAAAAATCTATTTTGGCATTTTTCTAATATTTACTTTTAAATTAAGAAATTAACTAATGTATAATACTAAAATTTGAATTATAATCTACAATTGGATACCAAACTTATTGATATAAATTCATAAAACAGTAGTTCAATAAAATTTTGAATGTGAGTCAACAAACAAGATGACATGGCCTTTGACCTGTGTCGAAAGGGTTAAGTGCTCTTTCTTGACATAACTGTCACTATCAAACAAAACAGAATACCATCAAATGGTCCAGAGATTTTATTAGACTCAATAAATAAATTAGTCATGAATTTTGCAATTTAAAATAGGAGTGACACTGCTATCTAGTGATAATATAATAAAATGTACAAATTTATCAAATTAACAACAAAATATTATTTACCCAAAGGTTTTGAAGGAGAGTAAGATGGATTGGGTACAAGAACCACTTGCTACTATTATTCCTATGTCTTTGAATAGTGGGCAGGTGACAGAAGGTTGGAAGTTGACTAATGTTACTCCTCTTTTCAAGAGGTGATAAAAATTGTCCCAGTAATTATAGGCCTAATAAATCTTATATCAGTTGTGGGAAAAGTTTTAGAAAGTCTGATAAACGATGCTTGCAAAGTCATTTAACAAAGTTTAAAATCTTGTTGGATAGTAAATAATCTTGTGACACTCTTTGAAGAGGTTGCTGCTTATGTTGATTGAGGGTACAAGTGTGGACTTGGTGTATCTGGATTTTCAGAATGCATTTGACAAGGTGCCATATGAAAGTCTTATTAAAAAAAAATATCTTGTGGATGTGGATTGGTTGGCTCATTGGATAGAAAACTGGCTAGATAGAAGAAAGTAGCATTGTTATAAATGGAGTTCATTCAAATTGTATCAATGTCTCAAATGTGGTGCATTAGGGCTTAGTATTAGGACCTTCAACAATATAGATGAAGAAATGGCCCAGAAACTACTTAAATTTGGTGATATTAAGATACTGAATGTTCGTAGTTGTAAGAATAATACTGTTGCTTTACAAAAGGATTTAGATTATTTAATGAGTTAGGCACAAGTCTATAGAGGTTATAATTTCATTATATAGGTCACTTGGTTATGCCACATTTGGAGTACTGTGTTCAGTCTTGGGTTCCTTACCTTAGAAAGGACACTGCACTGTTAGAAATAATACAGAAAGTTGTTGTATGTTTAAGATTGTAGAGAGCATTAATATTGTTGATGTATCACCTGTTTTCATATTTAATGGTGAGAATGGTAAAATTAAGGGACACAAGTATAAATTTTAGCAGGATAAGAATCTTCCGCTAAGATAGCTTTATTTTTCTAATAGGGTGGTTAGCCTTTGGAAAAAGTTGCCTTCAGATGTGATGGATACAATTAATTTAAGGGAGCTTAAGAAAAGGCTTGATTACTTTTTGAAAGAAAAGTGCTGGTTTTGAGTGTTTATATTTCAAAGTTTAGTTTAGTGGATGAGATGACCTATATGGACAAACAGGTCCTTTGTTGTCCTTAAAATGTTAAATTGTATATCACAAAATATATCTAGATACCCTTTACGTTTTACAAGTAAGGTTGATACGTAATAATTTCAAAACTATTTAAATGATCAATATGTTAAAAGTTGCAATTTGAGAGCAAAATTAACCTGCTTCACCATTTTTGGATACTAAAATAGTTAATTTAGAAAATATGATTGAAAGTAATTGTTACCATAAACCAACATTTACTGGTTTATATTTTAACTTTATTTACAACCTCTTGATGAAACTCGAAAAATTAACTATTTTACAAGCTTAGTGTATTCAATGTGAAGATAGCTGTCGAAAAAATTTACACAAAGATTTGATTGATAATTGAGAAATATTTGAAGGTTTGGTATGATTCTATAATTAACAAACATTCCACCATTAAATGTATTGTATATTTACATTTTGTCATATCTAGGGAAACTTGTTTTAAATTTAAAGAAAAACATTAAAACTGTTTTAAATTATAAGATTTATTCTTAGATTCAACTTAAAGTAGTTTTGAAGTGATATTTCATTTCTGTAATTACTTTACATTAAAAGACAGTGTTGATAAAATGCAGAACTTGTCATCTATAAATTTACTTGTCCAAGTTGTAACCATGGCTATGTAGGCTAAACAATATGTTGTGTTCAAGGACTAAACAAATTATGCCATATAATTAATCAAATATTCTTTGACATGTCTTACAAAACTGACATTTTACACTTTGTCCAAGTTGTAACCATGGCTATGTAGGCTAAACAATATGTTGTGTTCAAGGACTAAACAAATTATGCCATATAATTAATCAAATGTTCTTTGACATGTCTTACAAAACTGACATTTTACACTTTGTCCAAACTTCTGTATTCTGTATGCTTTGAGTGTGATAATGCTGAGAATAAAAGAAACCCTTAACAATTTTGCTGTCAGTCTTAACATTATCAGCCATATATTTCTCACAAGTCCTTTTGAATTTCCTAATTTTTTTAAACCAAATCCTTACCTTTCATATAGTTCTTTAAATCTTTAGACTATCTGTCAATTTAAACTTATAGAATTTATCCTAGATTTCCTCGCAATAACAGAAACAATTTCAATTTCAAAGATAAATTTCCATTCTTTCTTAGTTAATAACCCTCGTGATCCTTTTTTTTCATCTAATATCTAATAACTTTAGTGTATTATAACCCAATGCTAATACCGAAAACAATATTGACAGAAAAGTTAGCACACAGCATCACATAAAAGGTGCAATGAATTTCAAAAAACAAACACAAATCCAATATTTTATTATTCTTTACTTTTCTGAAGAACAGTCAATTATTTGACAGCTTTTGAGTTTTGGGTCTTTTTTTGAAATTCATTGCACCTAAAAACAATAGTAAGTTAAGCCTAATGCTTTAATATACTTCCTAATGCTACAACTTTAGGCTTAGCTGTACTTGCAGTAATAAAACCTAAGTGTCCAATCCTAAACAATCTAAAATACACTAAAATAACAACTGTAAGCTTTAATATGGGCAAAATAATACTTATCTTCTATGTATAAAACATTATAATCTACAACTATAAGTATTTCTAATATCTTTGTCTCAGAGCTAAACATACTCTCAACAGTTCTCTCTGGCCACCCTATAAATTATATTTTTATATCTTTTACTGGTTAAACATTTTATTACTTGATGTATAAGATAGATTCATATCTTCAGCAAATTTTACAAATTCTTAATCTAAACAATGATGTACTTAGAGAAAGCGCACATATTGCAAAGTCTGTCAGAAAGAATGTCTCTTCTCACCTTTGCTAAGAGTGCCTGTGACACTCCCTTCAGTGCTCCTGTTGTAACAGTTTTAGCTTGACTTGAACTTGGAATATTTGACTCTTCAGTGTTAGAAATCCGAGCTTTGGAAGCTATTTCGTCCAATGCCTGTTCAACCTGCAAACCATATTACTTATCCTTACATTGTATATACAAACTTTAAATCAGCATGAACATTACAACTTCTGTGCAAATCTATATTATTTAATTCTGAAGGAAACTAATCATAGTTACTGCAGATTTTGGTTTTATTACTTAAGGTTGTTTTCACATTCAACATGTGTTAACAGGGGTAATTATTCTTCCAAAGAATTTTCCTCATAAAGACTCCTAAATTCCTTCCCTAATTTTTCACCATGATTGATTGGCAATAGGATCATAGTGATGCAGTGACTAAACCTAATAGTTAAAATGCAATTTCTTTTTTTTCTCTTTCTTTGATTTTATTACTTCTTTTTCTTCTTTTTTTTTCCTAATTTTTTTCACTTTACCTATATCTCCTTTTCTATGACCCAAAAATTTTCAGGAATTTTAATAATCTCCAACTTAATCCTGCACTTTTAGAATACTTACCCAGGAAAATATTTACCACTGTATGTTAATTGAAGCCTTTATATCAAACTTTTAAAAGGTAATGATGAAAACTTGCCAACATCTGGCAATTTTAAGAAAATATATATATTTTTTTTACCAATTTTTAATGTTGGTGACAAGAACGAATTCTCTAAATTAGAATTGTGATTTTAGAACTATCAAAATGAAACAGTTTTCCAAGAAACAGCCAAGAGGTTTGTTTTTAAACAAAATCTGTCTAAAACTCTTCACAAAATCTAAGCTTATGTAACTATTTTCCAATCTTGAACCTACCTAAGTTAAAATACATAAACTGCAATTATTGCTCAGTCTTGAAGTACTAAGCCTAAAACACATAAGCCTGTGTAATCATTTATCAAACCAAGGCTGTTTTAGGTTGTTTAAATACACAGCTTCACAATGAAATGGCTACCTGCACCATGTCCACCACAGAAATTGAACCTCTAACCAGAATTTAAAAATGCAGAAGTTTGTAATTATTTTCCAGTCTTAAATTTATTAAGTTACAGAATCTCATGATTATTTCCCAAAGCCAACCCTACAAAAAAAACATCCAATTTATGTATCCAAATTGTGTTTTACTGTAAAAATGTTCTATGCTACTTTTAAATCACAGTTTGTGGAGTTTGTGTAAAATAAATGTGAATCTATATTTATTCAAAGAATAGACTAACCCTCTGTCCAGCCTTTCCTCGAATGTGGTCCAACACATCCTGAGCAGTTCTGTACTTTGTTTCGTCAGGAGGGGCAGGCAATGGTGTGGGCAGAATGTCTGGTACTTGGTCTAATTGGAAGCTGGGATGCCAGCGTGTCAGCTTGTCCCTGGGAACTTTCATTGGTGGATCAAGTTCTGATAAAAATATCTACAGAGAAAAAAAAATCATTGGTAAACCTAGTCCTGATACAAATATCTACAGAAAAAAAGCAAACCTAAGCTTCTTTCCTGCTAGAACAACATCTAAAAAAAAGTCACAAACATCATACTTTATCAAATCTAGCCATGTCACGTCAATGTACCACACCTACTAAAATCAACAATGTTTGAATAGACTTGTACAGCAGTGTTCTCAATGAACATATTAAAACTTTTATCTTTCTCTTACAGATGGCTATATCAGTACAATAACAAAACACAGGTGAATATTTTATGTTAAATGTTACTGTGTATTTTGAAACTGTACAAGACCAAATAAAACCATAGTACATGTATAGGAATTGTTCCCATTTCTTAGTTTTTAAAGTTATATCATCCATCAGTTTACATAAATTGGATAATCAGATGTGACACAAGTAAAGACAATTACATAAGATTTAACCTGTAAGTTGTAACCCAAGACTCTATGTCTGTTTGGTTTTTTTGCAGTATTTGTCGTAATACAAGATTCTATGTCTGTTTGGTGTTTTGCCAGAATTTGTCGTAATACAAGATTCTATGTCTGTTTGGTGTTTTGGCAGTATTTGTCGTAATACAAGATTCTATGTCTGTTTGGTGTTTTGCCAGAATTTGTTGTAATACAAGATTCTATGTCTGGTGTTTTGCCAGAATTTGTTGTAATACAAGATTCTATGTCTGTTTG